AATATTTTCGATTAAATTATTCTAATCTACTATCAAACAATATGTAGTCTTGACATTATTCAATCTAAATATTTAACTGAAACATTTATCAGTAGTATTTGAAACTGGAAAGATCTTGAGGAAATTACTGAGTGAATGAATGTGTACAATTGTGTGTTAGGTTTCCAAATATTCACTTACACTGTTATTATTATGATTATGAATATCGTTGTTATTTTTATGATTAGCATTGTATTAATTAGAAATGAGTCACAGTTATAATTTTTGTTTAAGCAGCTGAAAACTTTCATGTTATTCATGCTTGACTAAATTGATTAATAAAAAAATTTTCTAAAGGTGATAAATCTCTTCTATTGATATGCATATGAGAATAGGCATATATGCATACATATATATGCATATATATATATTTGTATGCATATAGGAGAGAGAACATTTTCATTTGTAATTAACATTGGAACAAAAGCTACTCAACTGAGAACGATTAGGTTGAATGATCAAATGGAGAACAGTATATATATATATTTGCCCATATTTCCTCACCAGTTTTTATTGTTGCAGTGGGATATTGATTATTTTCAGTATACCGTTGATTAGAATAAAATTGGTAACGTTTTAACTACTACTATGTATTGACTGCATGTGTTCTTCATTTTTAGAATTGGTTTTTATCAGTAGTAAGACTACCTTAATTTTGTACAAAAAAAATATATGAAATGAGGGTAGAAATTTTGAATCAATCTTTTTATAGAAAATATACAATAAACAATTTTAACACAACAAGCTTATGACTATTATTAAATTTTATAGGTTATATCATCATATACACACTAATGAATATTGTAATGTCACAATGAGAATTTATGATCGGTAGAGTTTAGCTAGATCGAGTATGAAACATTGTAGTATAGCAAATTCTCTGAAGTGAGAAATATATACTATTAGATGGTTAGTACTTTCAAAGATTAAACGCTTGGCACTAGACCTGAAGATCCTTATTCTGATGCGTATAGCAATTATTAGTGTGTATTTCTGAATAGTTAGTTGCCTACTAGTGCAATGAATGAAGATGGATTAATAATGTATTTAAATAAGACAGTTTACTAACAAACTGTATACACCCTATCTTCCGATTTCCACTTGCAAAACAAAAAGATTATTGATTGTCTTCTTGTTTTCAAAATACCTTGACTGCGCTATACATTCGGATCGAAAAGTTTTCTCTCCGGTCGTAACTTCCACTGCATACTTCTTATATAAGTCAAGTTGCGAATAGTATCCATCACACTAGGACAAAATAAATATGTTACTACTTGCTGGTTTGTAATGTTTATCTAAACAAGGTCAATTTGTGATGTTAACTAGGATGTACACAATACATTCTTCATGTAGTTTCTAAAAATGCCTATATAATTTGATATTGGCTATAGGAATATGAATTAATTTTTTCTTTTATTAAAAAGTTTGTTAAAAATTATAATAATATTATATTCCGGAAATAATGATAACTACAGAATTGATGCCAGTTTACAGACATTGTCAGCATGATAGAGAAATAAATGTTCAACGTAAGGGATAGACATATCACGTTACATTGTTTGAAGTGTTCTAGTTCGAAAATTGTCTAAGGTAAATTTTTAACACATATTGTAGTAATACAAAGCACCAGTCATGAATTATTAATTCTTTTTAACTGAATATCCTGTCACCGTAAAGGTTATATTCATCAACAACTGGAGAAAATAAGACGGAAACTATGAGCACGGAAGAACGAAAGCAATAATTACGACAATAAGTCAGTCATGTCTATCAAGTCTATCATAATTCAAGGACAAAGTTATCTTATGATTTAATGCTTGCGTTGGAAACTATTCAAACAGGTTATGTTAACTGGAGACAGTTTTAGTGCAAAGTATCTGCAAGTAAGGTTACTGAGTAAATTCAGCAATAAAACGATTCAATATTAAGAGTTGCCATAGTTTCACTTGTGGAATGGGATATATTTAAAGCTACAGTTATGTAATTTTCCGAGGAATAGTAGGCATCGATGCAACAAATAAAGGATGAGAGTCATTTTATTTCACAGATAGATTGTTCCAGGGTCTCGAAAAGTTACTGGTGAGATAATTCATATCAAGAGAAGATTTAGAATGGGACTGTATCATTAATGAAAAAGAGTTATGGAGGCTATAACTAGAAGTTTCTAGATGTCGAACAACTTCATTAGATACAAAACATAGCTTATTAAGTCATTTGAAGGAAATGTCCAGATAAGCTTTATCACATCTAGATTAACAATTTAAAGTAGGATCAGTTTCGAGTTCGCACAGCGTAGATTATCTCTCAAAGGATTCCAGTCTTAATTTGTCGTTTATGCTAAAGCTACTAGGAATAAACGTGCAATATTCTAGAAGTAGTAGAACATATAATTTGTACATTAAAAAAGGTGATACATTGTTATAGAGATTATAAATTTTACAGCCCCGAAGAGGTTGAGACTTGAAAGTCAGTTTAGATACCTGTTGTGAGGACTAGTTATAGAAGTACTTGAGTCTTGACACCTAACATTTTGTGATTGAGTCTAGGTTGAGCAAAGTATAACCAAAGCCGATCCATAAACATTTGGCAATAATAAGCTTCACCTTCCATTGCGAACACCACTGGTACACTTAACTGAGCTCCATAAGGACGCAGTTTTGTATATTGTTCAGCTCAATAGGAAAGAGTGAAAACAATCACCAATAACATTTACGTAAGCTAATGTTTGTCAAAAATAAACATCAATGAATTCAACTATTTTTGATGATCTAATCATAATGTATATTTTGAAAAAGATTTTATTATCGAAATCAGGAATTTGGATTAAATCAATTGATTTGCATATAAAAAGCCTATCATTTATTTTCCTACTTCTTGACCATTGAGATTAATATAAATTTATGTTCTATGAGGGATTTTCTTTAACTTGGGAGTAGAATTCACCCTATAAACTTCGGTAATAAGAATTATTCTCAGGCAAAATAATCATCTGACATCTAAGTCATTGACACCATTTACGAAATTAATTCTGATATTTGGAAGCCTAAACACTGGTATCGTTTATAGGCCTGTTCTACCTGATCGAGAAAGTCAAGTTGCCTCTTTCTTAACCTTAGTGCTCGTCACTAAACGTAAGGAAACTAAGGAGTATTAGACCATACCTAAAAGAAGAATATTCTCCATAAGTTGCTGAAAAATGATTAAGCTGGATCACTGATATTTCTATTTTTAAACTGATGTAATCTTTTAACGTGTCATCAAAAATCAAGTAAACGGTTTTATTCATTTCTATCGTTGCTTATTTGATTTACACATTTACATTCATGACGTAATCATGTAAAGCATTACTTTGATTATATGAACATTCTAACCTTCTGACACTGAGACATTGTTTATTCTAAGTGGGTACGAGACAGTGATGTATTACAAAGTAACTGATAGAAATACAGCAAGGTTTAAACTGGCACCAAAATTTATCTCATTACATTTCGATCTACAGATTTCTTTAAATTTTGGAAAAATATTCTTAATAATCTCTGCACATTCAATATTCTGTAAAACAAGAGTTATTATCAAAAAATTAGTTAGCTTTATCTGAATGAATATATTAGATCATTTTACGAAAAAAGGTTATCAGTTAAAGGACATCTTCAACAATGGATATTAATTTTTTCCCAATATTTCATACTGCAAAGCCATGACTTTTTCTCCAGAAATATTTCCACAACTAGTGGAAATCGATCAAATCTAGAATATTAACTAAAAAAGTAAATTAATTATTCAGTCTGAAAGTTGTAGATTTAACTAAAAAGAACAAATAAATTTTGTCAGTTTACCAAATAGGTAGACATACTGAACTGTTGTCACATTAATACGATGATGACTTTTATTTTCTGCTAAACTTTAAATCAATTATTTATCATCTAATAAATAATTCAGATGGAAGTTTGTGCTGATAATGTTGTTGTTCAGAAGAACAATGAAAGTTTCACAATCAAAACATCCAACTCAGTGAACGAAACACTAACACAATCATCCACCTAAGCTACAAATTTTTTCTCCACCATGTCGATCTGATTAACTTTTTCATTGACATTTTACCTTGAAAAGGTTTCAATTGGAATTTTTAAAAAGTCATTTTCATAAGTAAACAGTTAATTTCGTCAATTTTATTTTTTAAAAAATCTTTTTAATTCTTTCTAACTAATCCTTTCATTGACAATGTTATCGCGATATCATTTGATCAACTGGATGTACTGTTTAGATATTCAAATTATAAGTATCATCGTTAAAAAGAAAAAAAAATACAATAGACTATCCAAAAAAATGAGAGGAAAGGATTAGCGTTTCTTTCCTATCCAGTAATCATGACAATCATGACTGATGAAAGTAGTTGAAAGAATGAAAAAGAAAAGGAGACTAACACAAATGAGCATTTGCATTTTGTTAAAATCTTTTCAATTGCTAACGAAATAAATTCAATTTAGTACATCTCAATTATACATACATACATAGAGGGGATTTCTATTGACTAGTATGATTGTGATTATTCAATCAGTAATATATACACAATATATATATATATGTATATATATATGTATAGGTAAACAGAAAAGATGAGATAACGCCTACTCAATCTATTTTTTTCGAGATATAAATACATATTCATACATAATATATATTAAACTGACTAAGTATAGATAGACTACTGGTAAGGAAAAAAAATATATATATATATACAATGAGTTCATTGAGTTTAAGTACATCAATAAGTATGTAAAGATAATTCATAGACTTATTCTTCTGCCTTTCAATGATTTAACTGGTTGAGTTTAAAAATTCTCATCTATTGGTTCGCAGAAAATTAACCAATCTATCAGAATTTGAAGAAAATATCCTGTTTGTTTGTTTGTCTTTTCTGAGTTTTTTTTTCTGTTTACTTTTGAGCATGAAGTAATTTTTTTTGTTATTGTCACTGAATTTAAATTGAATTGAAGAGTTTTCATTTTATTCCATTGTATTTTTGTTCTTTTGAAAGTATTCTTCTTCTAGGGTGTGTTGAGTATTACAATAAATTGAATTTTGACAGTAACTGTAGTAAAGACTGTTTTCATAGATTACTACAATATTCACGATATAGTAGTGAGATTTCTTTGTTGCTTTTTTAGTGAATGAAATCAATTTCACTTCTTGAAGAGAAACCGATTGAAAGATTACAATAATTTTTTATTGAATATTAATAATTGATAAGAGAATTTCAATCAAAGAATCATACGTAGAAAAATTAGATAAACATTCTAATGTATTCATAAGCCTAAATTAAAACGCATTAATTAAATGATACATCATGGAAATACATAATACCAATACTAACATGCATCCAAGTGGGGAATTATCGTTTAAAGAACAAATACAAGGGAAAATGTTAAGGTGAGTATAATGTACCTTTGATTATGAACTATACTGTACTAATTGAATAAATTAGTTCTTTTGAAATGATTTCTGCATATCTATGACTGATTGTTTGGATTCAGTTGATTAGTTATATTTGTAATTTAAAGAGACGCCTAATCAAGATGAAGTATGCAAACATGACTATTAGCCTAATCAAACTCAAGTAATCTTATTTTTAACAATTATATAATGTAATTGTTTGTAAACTGTTTAACTAATTTGTCTGTAAAGTTAGTAACTAAGAATTTTTCAATGAATCTGCGGTACATAATGGTCTAAAACTGAATTTCCGAAAAAAATACAGTGTTATTTTGTTAGAGTAACTAAGGTACTATCAGTGTGTTTGAAATATGAGTCATATAAATTTTTGCTTTTATTGGTTTGTTCTAAAACTGCATTAGATATTTTGTATACAATTTGTTGAGACTCTACCTTTTCTAGTGTGTAAAAAGGTGTATCGCCTTTGATTTTCATAAACTCTCTGCTTATTTTTCTCCTAATGTGTAGCTTGATTCACATAAAACAACAGAGTTTGCATTTTGTACAGAATGAATCAGTCATTCTCCTTTTTTTCTCTCTCTCTCAAAAAAGTACATCACACTCATTGTTTCAATCAATCGGTATTTATTTATATTCTGATTAACTCTAAACAAATTGTACTTAAATGTAAATCACTTTTATTTAAAGGTTTACGTGATTAGCATTAAAATTATAACTGATAAGCAATAAACTAACTGGAATAGATGAGATTATGAAGTATTGACAGTATGTACAGTAGTTATTAGAGAAAACGTCACATTTTAATTGCATTTAAAGTGTTTCTTTTGAGTTTTTGACATTTTGTACTGTCCATAACATTACATTTTAACTTATATTAATATTGAAAATAAAAATACTGAAATGATAGTTATGAAAGATTTTATAAATGCTCTCTCATCGTACTATGAGGCTGTGTGAAAGCAGACTTTAATTACAAATGACAGCTCTTTGTCAATGATAATTTGAAAGTTGCTTTAGGTCGAAAATTAGTGATAGTACCCAATATACAATTAACTAAAGAATAGGACTGGATTATCTTTACTGTTTAGTCAATAAGAAACAGAGGATTTTTTCGAATACTAATCAACCATTAACAGTAAATTTTGAAAAAAATTACTCAGTAACAGCTTATACAGCTTAAGCATTCTTCAGTTACTTTAAAAACTTGAATACCAATTAGGCTATCATCAAGTTGAATGGTGAAGTACATATTCAACTGAGCAAATTAAGGTTTGAAAATATTCCGGTTAAGGTTTTCTTTGTCAAATAACTATCTGATATCGTTTAATTTTCATTACTATTCAAATGCAGTGAAACTGGCTTGTCAATGTATGAGTTCCTATAAATCAGTGGTTGATATTTACAACTTACTTCATTTATGCGCATTATAAACGTACTCATTTTATCATGAGTTTGAATTGAAACACATTTGTGGATCTTGTTATTGTTGCTGTTGCAATAATTATGTCTTTCCTACATTATTTTGATAAAAAAATTATGTACAAGCAATTTTATAGGAGAAACACATATTTCGTATTTTGGGGCAGAGTTTTGGAGGTTTTTACACATTTGAAATCATCAATCAATCATTGTTAGACCACCATTAGAAACGTGGAAGCACTGGACGGCCGTTTCGTCCTAGTATGGGACTCATCAGCAGTGCGCATCTACGACTCCTGCTCCTCGCAGGATTCGAGCCCGGGGCCTTCGGCATTGTAGGCGAACGCCTTACACCGTTGGATGCCGGCCCAGTGGTCCGATCGTCTGAAGAGTCATATACTAGGACGAGACAGACGTCCAGTACTTCCAGGTTTCTAATGGTGGTCTAACAATGATTGATTGATGATTTCAAACATATTTCGTAGTAAGTACGATATCATTAAATCATAGAATCAGTCAATGGTTGTCATTTTTTTTAAACTTCAGTTAACTCGTACTGCCAGTGTTCAGGCTTTTATTTTTATGATCGACCGATAACTAACTTGATCTCTATTTCAATCTTCTCATCACGTCAAGATTTTTTTGATCTCACAGCTAGTTAAAAGTAAGCGATCAAATACTAGTTGTCCAGATGGTTTCGTGATGAGTAGGTGAAACATTTGTTAAGCGTACGTAAAAAAATCACCTGAAAAATACTCACTGTCTTCAGAACTGTTTAATCATTGGTGTAAATATAACTGTAATAATATTTTTAGTTAGCATGTTCATTGGTTTTAGGTCACCAATAGGCTGCTTATTTAAATATCTGGGTTATCTATTTTTCAACTTGCCAAATATTACAATACCATTTTCTGTTTCTAAATTATTTTTTTCAGCTCGTTAGTTGTGCACATTAATGACTGAATCCATTAAACGATCTTTTTAAAATGTATTATATATTGAGATGATTAATGCTAAATTCAAATCGAACCACCAAGATGGTTGAGGTATGATTTCTGAGGAAACTAGATGAGATAATAACGAGGTATATGTATTCAACATTTTACATGATAAAGTGTTTTATGAGTTTGACGATAAGCCTTTGCTGAAAATTATTTTATTTTCCCTCGTTTAATTTTCACGTGGAGTAGTTAAATTCGTATTAAATCATTTAGTTTAGTCTCAGATATTAAAGTATTCAATAAAGTGATGATTGTTCGAACGAAAAACCTCCCTGAATATCAGTTTCGTTCTATTTTTTCGGCACATCCTTTATTTCAAGAAGACAAATGCATCTATTTATGTTTTAACCAAAGTTGCTCAGTACCAGAAATGTTACCATCAACCTTACTAGAAAGCAAATAAACTCTACTAAGACTGAGTGGCCAATCATACTATGTTTTTCTAATTCTCATTGCTAACCGAATCTCATGGATATAATTTAATAAATTTTGAAGTTTCATTAAAATCATTTAAACTGCAGATAATACATAAATTCAACCTTAGATAATAAACATAGTCATTCATTCTTACAATAGTAAAAATAGTAAGAATAAACTTTTTTTGAGTTAATCGATTCACACGTTTATTTGCATGCAACACTCTTCACTAGCCTGAAGTATGAATAAACTCAATCAATTCAGTATGAAATTTATTCGTAGATCTTATGTACTCTACATAACTTACCTTTAGTTTGTCTCAACCTTAGTTGCTACCTTGACGTGGTAGTCAGTCTTGCCTATCGTGATAACCTAATCAGGCTATACATTAGTTGGAGCATATGTTCCTTTAGGTCCTGCCATTAAAGGAAGGTGGATTGGTGAACTTAATGCAGCAAATTAAGATCTGAGGGCCAAGTCTTACTGCTGACTGTAGAGGGGTGTGACCGAAATGAGGTGTTTCCCTCAGAAAACCAGCGATGCTGCTTTCTCACAACGGACGAAAGGGCTTTGAAAAGGTCAACCCTAAAAATGTCACACCTCACCTTACCTCATGGATTTCCGTCTCTGACATTAAGGCCTTTTGAAGAGAGGAGCTAACACTTCAAACATATGCCATAAAAAAGCCGTGAGTGACCGATCCTCGAGCAGCTGTGCTTTGGACTCTGAGGTCATGCTCCAAGGTAGCTAAGACCAACTCTAACCCACCTCCCTTTTCTGGTTACTCAAGAAATACGGTTTGGGCAACTGAGAAGCGATATCCGCCCTAATTCCCCTAACAGCACAAGACTAACATTCAGTGTGCACTTATCAAATGGATATCATCATCATAGCTGTATCTTAGGCGTCATCAGCGAATCGTTAACAAATCTCCAATAGCCTAATGCATAAAATTCAAATTCTATTTTTTTTAAGTACTTAACACATTAAAAAAACAAAAAAAATGGAAATGCTAAACTTCACAATCATATTAAAATCACATGTACACGTGCATAGAGTGTTTTCAGCTTCCTGTAACATTTTAAAGATTTCAATCATTCCATGTTGTCCACTCACAAATAAACAAATGATTCAGTTGAATTTAATTCTTTTCTTCAACACAAAGAACAACAAAACAAAATCTTATTTTTTGTCACAAGTTCGATTACAGTTGTTTGTTTATTCTTATTTGAATATTATGATTGACTCATGAATAATCCTTGTTAATCTATTTAATCAAATATTCAAGATAACAGTTTTATCAACATTAATGGTGATAATCATGATGATGATGACACAATACATGAATTATGTGTAATTAGGTCAAATAAATCACTTCATTTTATACAGTAATCTCTAGTTATTTTTTTTTTTGAAAGCCTAATGAATGAATACATAGCAGAGATTATCATCACTTATTTGAAGCAATTCACTTATTTATTTTTATTGAATAAGATTTATCCGATTGTTTGTGTTAGAAAGCAAACATCCCCTACAGATTCTCTCTTGTTTTAATCCTACCTTCTTTCTTTCATTCATTTGTGTTTTATTTGGCCGATTAGTTAGATTTATCGTCATCTATTGTACCTAGTGAAGTTTTTATCCCTTTTCAGGCACATGATAAGCTACATGTAAGAAACTAATTTTCTAGTTGAACAAAATAATCTGATATTTTGTTGAGTTTAATTCTCACCAATGAGTCATCTAGAAGTTACTATGTTATTTGAAATTTAGCTATAAAAACTTATCCTATAAGGATAAACTGTTTATTTTAAGTAGAAAGTTTTCATCTTTCTTAAGATAAATATCAGTGAAAAGGTAGAATAAAGAAAATTATTCAACTTGTAGTTCATCAAAATAAAATGTCAGTTGGATGTCAGTAAGCACACTGTTGCTTTTCACACTGATATACTTTAAAATACTTCGTACTGTTAAGATTTGATAAGTTGAGAAAAACACAGCGAAGACTACTATTTCGTTACAAGAAATTCATTAAGCGGTCAGGAGAAAAAAATCCAAATTTTACAATATCTTTACTGAAATCAGTATATTATATTTAAATAGCGAAACTAATTGAACTTGAAAAAAATATGCAGTTTG